AATGTGAATAGTAAAAACATAATTACCAAAGTGAAAATATTAACTACAAAAATCATCATATTTTTTAGTTGTATCAGTTACTTTTCTGTTACCATAATAAGACACCACAGCAAGAGTACTTATAGAGGGGAGAGATTATTTGAGTTATGGTTCCAGAGGGAGCCATGGTGGTGGGGGAGACATGGTGGCAGGAGGTGTACAGAGGGGAAAACTGAGCCATTACATCTACAAGCAAGCACAGAAAGTACAGAGAGACTGGAAATCTGGCAAGATTTAAGATCTCTCAAAATCTGTTCCCCCAGTTACATGCTTTCTCAAGCATGTCTGACCTACTAAAATCTCACAAACCAGCACCAAAACTGGGAGAAAAATATCCAAACACTTGGAGCCTATGGGAGACATTCTGATGCAACCCACACATAAACCATATAACAAATCAATCTCTTTAATACCTGTTGCTAGAGATTGAACCACAGCCTTAGGCATCCTTTGAAAACAGTCTACTACTGAGCCACATTCGCAGCCCTGTGGACAGTAGTTTAATACAAGAATAATATAGATAGTATTTTGCTATTGTTATTATTACTTAGCAAAACTACCTAATGTTTTAAAATTGGCAACTGGTTTGAATATTCATTTGCTTCAAATAAGAAAAGGGCCAAGAGATTTATGAAGGATTATTCAACATGAATCATCATGGAGATGCAGATCTAAAGAGTTTAAAAGAGTGAGCATGGGAGCTGGAGAGATGCCTCAGCAGTTAAGAACATTGGTTGTTCTTGCAGAAGATCTGGGTTTGAATCCCAGGGCCCACATTGCAGTTAAAAATGGTCTGTTACTCTAGTACCAGGGGATCTGACAGCCTCCTCTGACCTCCTTGGGAATTCCACAACACAGGTGCACTTACCTACATGCAGGCAATACACACATACACATAAAATAAAAATAATAAATGAAAGTAAAAATAGTTTTTAGAATAAAGAGTTCAGTGGTAATGTTTACCACCTCTATTACTTAACATGATGTAAATTTTTATGCTTCTTCCTCAAATATAACTCATTTTTTAATTTGTTGGGGTTTTGTGTGTGTGTATCACATAGAACATCCCAATCTTATTCATTTATATACTCACTTACAACATGGCAACCTCCCATAGCCTCCCCTGCAACTAGAGCCCTTTTACTCTGTCTTCCCTGCTACTGTCTGCTGTGATGTCAGCACCCCAGATGTTCCCCAGTTCTTGTCCATCCAGTGAATTTAGTCAGCCCATCCATAAGGTCAGCTGTTCCTCATCTAGTGGCAATCAGTTGTCAATATTCCTTTACATAAGATTGGGGTCTGCTGTTGCCAAGGATCCAAGTACAAAGGACCATGACTACTAATAATCAGAATCATACAGATTAGAGATGCATGCACCAACATCTAAGTGTTATTAGTAAAAACAATGAGTCTTTCTGTTAGAAACATTATATTTTAAAACAAAATGGAGATCTTTTTTAAAAGTTAAAAACTCATTCATTTTTATGTCTTACAGTTTTATACTGGTTCAATATTGTGTAACTGTATTAATTCAACTGTGAACCTCAACATTTTATAGCCACTTTTGAAAGACATGTATCTTTGCTCTGGAAATTGTTATTGAGTATTAAAGCTGTAATGAAATGCTTCTTCTAAAAAATAAAATAAAAACACTCGTGAAGAAAAAATAAAGAGTTTAAAAGATTGAGCAAAGACATTATTCACTTTGGGAACAGCAGCAGGTAGGATCTTAATCCAGGAGCATTTACTTTTTTATCTTACAGCATTGTTTTGTTGGTAATTTCCAACCAGAAGATAAATGAGGCAAAAATCCCACTGGGCCATCTCCTCTGGGTTTATCACTGTTGAGTAAGTGGATATAAATATTCTAAATCAGCGATATCCACAGTGTATTTGAAGCTCATGGGCTTTTCCTGGGGTAAGGAAAATCTGCAAAATACTTGAAGAATATTTTGGGAGCTAGAATCTAAATTTCATGGTCAACTGTTGTTTTGTGCTAGACATTATATTTACTAAATACCTTGGTGACTGACTATAGTGTGTTAAACTCAGTAGTCATCCAATTCTGATTTAATCAGAATAATGCCTTAAATTGAAATCAAAGTTTCTTTTTTTTTCACAAAAGAATAGCTTTTGATTTAACTGTATTTAGGTAATTAAAAATTGTCTTTAAGAAATATATGCTTTTACACTCTTGGTGAATGAATATACTTCAAAGTGAGGACTTTCATAAATGTACAGAAAGTACAGAAATACCTTAGTTTTTGACAGATTGAATTATGACATATCAAATTTTTGACATATTGAATGTTGTGTTTTGATCCAGAGAGAATACAGTGGATATCTTTTGAAATTTGTATTATAGTAGTAACTTCCAAATACTAAGAGTTTCATAATTTTATCCAAATATTTATCCATTTATACTTGTTTAAAATTATCTTAATTCATGAGGATGAATGTTTAATTTCATTTGATATGGAATAAAGGGTTCAATTGTACATTGAATCCATAGAATATGAGGAGACAGGAAAATAAAATCATAAGACATTGAAATACACAGTGTGTGGCCAGAATGTTTGCACTGAGTCATGGGTTCAGCATTCATTAGCCAAGTGGATTTTTCTTAGATAAAATAATATCACATCACAAGTGCCCATTCCTATAAGAGGTACTTTTTAAGTGACATTTTCTTTCCTCTTTTGCAAAATGCATGACTGAGGTTTCTACTTTATATTCAAGTTGGATTTATAGCACTTTATAAGTTGATGTTATTCATTCAATTTTTATATATCATATTTAATTCTCAATGTTTTGACCATTTACTGATAGTGATTAATTCATAGTATTATAACTTTCCTTTGCACAGCTGGAAGAAAGGTCATCTCAAGATAAACTTACCAGAAATATTTCATTTACAAGAAAAATTTAAGAGCCCTGTGATCTATGATTTGGAATTGCCAGTTTTTTGTGTATTTTTATTAAAAGATAAATCATGGGATTTATCAAGGGATCTGACCACCCTCTTCCAGCCTCTACAAACATTGCATGCACATGATGTACTAAATACATGTAGGCACAACACTCACAACATAAATAAAACACTTATACACATAAAATAATAAAATATATCAATGCAAATATTTGATTTACATAGTGATTAAAACAGAGAAGTAATCCAAAATGAGAGCATGTTGTTAAATTTTAGCCTTGGTTGGTAGAGGTAGAGATCATGACAGCCTGTGTGTATCCTAATTTTGATCATTGCCTCCTCATTTACTCATCTCTTTAGATATAACAAAGATCAGTTTCTGTCCAGTAGAATGTACCCATTTCTGTTTAAGAAAAGCTCTTCCAGGTAAGTAACTGTAATCAGTAATTTAAAAATTCCTTGTGTGCACCTTGCATGGTGGTGTATCCGTTTAATTCCAGTACTCCAGAGGCAAAGGCAGGCCTATCTCTGTAAGTTCAAGGCCAGTCTGGTATACATAGCAAGGAGTTACAGGCCAGCTGGGGCTACAAGGAGACGACCCTGTCTCAAAAAGACCAAAAAAAAAAAAAAATCCCGTATGTGCATTAATTTTGTAAACTATGTCCAGAAGGTATCGACTCCTGGGACTATGTAGTACCCCTTCATCAGTCTAAAAATCTCTAGAAAGACCTCCTGATGCCCAGAAAGTAATTGTTTTGTCAGATGAAATTTCATATATACTAAGTCAAAGTATTAGAACTGCATAGGTATACTTGCATTCTCTTTGTCAACAAAGACAAATCCAATTGTGAGGTGTTGCTATTTTCTTGCATATCTGGATAATATTGATCAATTGTTATAATGATTTTATCTGCTCAGTATGACCGTGTAAGGATTTTTTTTTAAACAGTATTACTCTGTAGTGTTGATTGACCTGAACCGCCTTAAGTAGACTACTCAGATTCAGAGATCTCTGTGCCTCTGCCTCCTGAATGCTGAAATTAAAGATGTGTATCACCAGGCTCAGACTTTGTGGGTTAGATTTGTAACTAGAGTTCTCTAGATTTTAAAAATGTATCAATTTGCACCTAGAGTATAATTGACATGTATAGTATGTCGTATATAAAAGGTAGTTATTAAATGTCACAAGATGATTGTAATTATCTCAGAAATTTAAAAACCAATGGATATATATTTTTTAATATTTTATTTTTTATTTTCATTTTATGCATGTAAGTTATTGCCTGCATGTGTTTAAGTGCACCAATGCCATGCAATTCCCATGGGGATCAGAAGAGGATATACGCTCCCCTGGAACTGGGGATCCATATTGTTGTTAGCTGCCATGTGGGTGCTGGGAACCAAACCTGGGTCCTCTGTAAGAGCAGCCAGTACTCCTAACCATGATATAGCTCTCCAGTCATTGGATAATTTTTCATTTATTTATGTGAGTTCTGATTGCAGAGTTCCTTTCTGAAAATTTTTGCAATTTTCAGTTTGTTATGTATGTCTGTAACACAACATTTATATCACCACATCTGTCTAGAGGTTGAAACTGTGGAGATTTTAGCTGGTTAAGGTTTTATCGAGTTACTTAATGTAGAAAGGTGTTTCTCAGCTTAATTGAATATTCATCATTGAATGACAGTGTTAGCTCACTTCCTAGGTGGGAAAAGGAAAATATTATTGCCAATTAATTTTTTTTTGTTTTCTGATTAAAACAAAAGCACTTGAGAACCACAGATCTATATCTGTACCTATTTCTATTTATTATCAAGCATATACTTGTGCATGTGTATATTTTTAGTATATATTTATATTTATGTATGTATGTCTTTTTGTAAAGATGAGCTTAGTTTAAAAAATTCAACTTGAAAATTGGACATATCTTATTTATATAACTTTCAATATAAAAGTCCTTCAAGAGACAATATTTAAAATCTTTTGACCATGCAGGTACTCCTATCCAGAACTGATTCTGTGATAAGCCTGGATGGAGAGACACAACCAAACAGGGGTGACTGAGTTCATCCTGATGGGCATCACTGACAGCCCTGAGCTACAGGCCCCATTGTTTGGGCTGTTCTTCATCATCTATCTGGTGTCAGCAGTGGCAAATTTGGGCATGATCATTCTCACCAAGATGGACTCCAGGCTTCAAACCCCCATGTATTTCTTTCTCAGACACCTGGCTATAACAGATCTTGGTTATTCTTCAGCTGTGGGACCCAAGATGTTAGTAAATTTCATTGTGGACCAAAATACTATATCATTTTATTTTTGTGCTATACAGTTATTTTTCTTTATCACATTTATTATTAGTGAGCTTTTCATTCTGTCTGCAATGTCCTATGACCGCTATGTGGCCATCTGTAAACCACTTCTCTATACTGTCATTATGTCTCAAAGAATCTGCTGGGTACTAGTCCTAATCCCTTATGTGTACAGTACAGCTGTGTCTCTCCTAGTCACCATAAAGATTTTCACTTTGTCCTTCTGTGGCTATAATGTCATCAGTCATTTCTACTGTGATAGTCTCCCCTTGCTGTCTTTGATCTGTTCAAATTCACATGGAGTTGAAATAATAATTTTAATACTGTCTGCTTTTAATTTGATGTCCTCTCTCCTGGTCGTCCTTGTGTCCTACCTGCTCATCCTCATAGCCATTCTCAGGATGAACTCTGCTGAGGGCAGGCACAAGGCTTTCTCCACCTGTGGGTCCCACCTCACAGTGGTCATCATCTTTTATGGGACTTTGATATTCATGTATGTGCAGCCCAAGTCCAGCCACTCCTTTGACACAGATAAAGTGGCTTCCATCTTTTACACCCTGGTAATCCCCTTGTTGAATCCCTTGATTTATACCTTGAGGAACAAAGATGTGAAATTTGCCCTTCGAAAGACAGGGGAAAAGGTACACAACATATTCTAATGGAGCTCACTTGTTGTTACAATGATCCTAATTCACACTAGGAAAATTGCTAAATGCTTTAAAAGTGTCAGTCAAGGAAATGATAGAAGACTTCATTTTCTTTAAAGTACAGATAAAATAATGATATAGGAAGTGAATAAATGCACAGAAGAATTGACATAGATTGCAAAGACCCACAGAAGACCTGAAAGGATATGTGCAATGGGTGAGTGAGAACAGAAAGTGTATAGGAGAATTTAAGTGGATTTTGTGTTTTGAATGTTATAATAAAATTTTCAGAGCCCGTTTGACTGTATTTACTTTTTGGAAATTCATCTGTTAGATTTTAATATTTATACATTTGTATGAATTGTGTTAAAATCAACATTGATATCCATGTTAGAAGGCAAAGCGTATTACTTTGAATTTAAGATCAGGGTCACATCAGTGAACTCAGCTTCCTCTCTTCCATGGGAAATCATATATTCTGATTTCCCATCACTGCCCTTACTTTCCTTTTGAGTCCAATAGTACTTTCTAACTCAGCATATTTAGTGATTAAAGAGCTCATAATTTATTTAAAATTTTAGTTTTGAGAATTTAAAAAAAATATTTTATTTTATGGATAACTTTTATTGAGCTTTTTAAAATTCATACAGCATTCATTTTCATCTCTATCTCTCCTCCAACCCCTTCTTCCATATCTATGTACACACACACACACACACACACACACACACACACACACACACACACGTGTGTGTGTGTATTCAAAT